ACCTCCGCGCTTACATACAGAGAGTCTATTTGAACTTAGAATATATTTAGAGTTGATATGGTTACTCGGTTCAGGACCGCGCTCGGAAGCGCACCACATACCGTAATCTCCCTTCTTAGATAGAGAGAAGGTTCTTTTGGTTCTGGTACTTACCCCCCCATATATCTGTCTACTGCAAAAGTGTATAGAGCACCTTAGTACTTGAAAGCAGATCTTATTTCTCTACTGACTATTGCTCGCGCTTCGTCTCTACTTGAAAGCTCTTCCCTTATCGCTCGTAGCGCTGTCTTGTTACTTAAGGGTCTTATATGAAAGTTGTGTATAATGACAACACAATTATACACGGTGAAGACTTCTTGCCAGTCCTTAAGTCCACGGTCTCCGACTTTTCTACTTTGTGGGAGGTAACGTGGTGAGTTCTTGGGAGGATTTAGTTTGTTGTCCTCTTCTTGTGTAGTCTTATACGAAGTTGTTGTGGAATGTTCTGTGTTCTGGATAAATTTGTTAGGTTTGTTTCAGCCTAGTAGGTCGTGTTTCAACCTATGAAAGTCTGTTTCAACTTTGTCGTCCTTAGATGTGTCTCACTTTCCGTTGAAAGGGAGAGTCTTATGAATACACGTAAAGCTTAGAATGAGAGCTGTTCAATGGTTATATAATCAACCCCTGTAAGGTAGTATATAACCTAGAGTAGAATAACGATAATGAAAGTTATATAGTCGACCCCTGTAAGGTAGTATATAACTTTAGAATAGATAATGATATCTTAGATTACCTCAAGGCACTTATATTGGCCTGCACTTTAAGTCTTAGTGGTCTCACACGGTTTGAGATAAGAGTCAAGTGGGAGGATTGTATTTCATGGGTGAAAATGGGGTCCTTTTATACCTTTTGGGAACCCCCTTACTAAGCATGATTAATCAGATGGATTGGTAAGAATGTGGCTTACAAACCAGGTGATGAATCAGCTTATTACTAAGTACATTACAAATACAGTGTAATCTTACAAAGAAATTAGAAACCATGACAAACCATGACTAAACATGTTGAGTCATGTTAAATGTTGTTACAAAGCATGGCCAATCATGACTAAACATGCTGAGTCAGCTTAAATAATGTTACAAACCAGAATATTTCCCAGTCACATGATGTGATGACAAATAAAAGCTGGTGGCTGAAAGAAGCCAAATATAAATAAACAGTCAGAAATAAATAGAGATACAAAACTTGGTGGCTGAAAGAAGCCAAATAAAAATAAACAATGAGAAATAAACAGAAGGTCACATGCTTGATACAAATACAAGGTAAAATAAGCCTGTAAAGTGAGAAATAAAATACAAGACAATGAAATAAAGGAAAAATAGAGAGGTAACTTAGTGACAAAGGGCTAGACAGTCTCTCATATCTTCCTTATCACTCTCTATATATCTGACATGGTATGAATCACATACCATGCATGACAGCGCGTGCCCCTCGCATCTCTCGCTCATGCATGCTGACCTGCACCAAACTGGTTCGGTGCATGGACAACTAATACTCTTCCATGAGTCCTATACCCCAGAATTTACCATGAAACCATTTTCCCTTTGAACTGAAGTCATACTGAGGCTAGGGAATATTTTTCATCTTTTTCTTCATTTTTCAAGTTTGCATGCGAGTGGACTGAATATTTTTGTACATTTAATTCTGCAATGAGTTCTACTTAGTCAGCCATGAGGATGACTCAGAAAGATTCTCGCACATATCAGGTGACTTTGAAAAATATGTTTGCATAAGGTTACCTTGTGGGAAAGCTTACAAATCCTTAAATACGCATCTTATGTCATTATGCTATCAATCAATTCATCAGCCACAGGCTGCACAAACATATGCACACATTATGTAATCATTACTCACTCTTGACTAGCTGAGTCGTCAAAGATCACCTGACCCATGGGCTATACACAGCTCTTGCTGACTCACTATTATACCAACAAGAGTTATGAATATTTACTTTTTGACTCAAAGATATCGTGTGACTTGGTACTATCACAGTAAAGTTACAACTTTAAGTACGAGAAACTAGTAGTACAGCCACCAATTTGTCTATATAAGGAGCTGTTTCTTGCCAAGTAAATGCCCAAGTGCTACTTTACCCTCTCAGAATAAAATTGTAAGTGAAGTGTGAATCGACATTCAGCAAGCGCAGATCAAGGTTGGAGCTCACTGTGCTCAACAACCAGCACAACATATCTGAGCTCACTGTGTTGAACATCTAGCACATACCTTGAGCTCACTATGTCTGATGACTAGCAAGACTAGTTTTTTTTTCTGTTTCTTCTGATTGTTTCTCTGTTATTCTCTGTTTCATTTTATCTATGTGTGTCTGTGTCTGTGTCTGTGTCTGTGTCTGTGTCTGTGTCTGTGTCTGTGTCTTTGTCTCTGAGATTGTTTTTCTTTTTATCTGTCTCTCTGGAAACATGTCTGAGATTTATAACTGTGAAACTAACATCTCTGTTTCTCTGTTTCATTCTCTCTGTCTCTCAAAGTCTGTCTGTGGTGTGTTAGTGACTGTGTGTGCTGACCATCTCTTTTGATCGCTATCTCTGTGTGTTGTGATCGTTGTTGCTAACAGTCTCCGTGAAGTGACTGTGTTGGTGTTTCTGTTGTAGCATTCTGATTGTGTCATTGTTTCTTCCTATCAACTTTCTCTCAAGTATCAAAGTTTCAGTCTCATTCTTACCCAGAGGTTTGGTGTTGTCTCTTTGTCTACTGAAGACTTAGGATAGTCTTGTGGGGAGGACTTTAGGTGTTGACAGTGAAATCACTGACCTCAGACATCTGCGTGTTATACTGGGTCAAAGTGGTCATTTGTAAGTTAGGCTTTAGCTATTGAAAAGAGGACTTGGTATTGAAGTCCAAGGTCGCCCGTTCCTGAGTCTGTTTGAATACTCATTGTGAGTTCCTTGGAAGCAGGCTCAATACTAGGCTAAGAGTGCTATGGTAGCTCTGACTAGGTCTGACAGTAGTCTCACCTGTTTTGTTATTGAGGGGGATTATCATTGTAACTTCACACAACTTGCTGCACTAAGCTTGTGTACGAATCATTGTTGCTGTGTGAAATGTTAGGAGGAGTGTCTATTTGTTTTGTGTCATCTTTATATTGCTAGAGTGACTGTGTCTCTTGATAGTTTGCTGATTGTGTTGTTGTTGTTGTTGTTGTTGTTGTTATTGAATCACTGACCGATTGGGTTCTGTTTCTGTTATCACTGTGTTTCATATGCATACTGTTGGATTGTCTGTTGACTGTTGATTGTTGACTACTGACTTCTGTGCAGAGCTGTACATTGCTGACTGTATCTTAGGAGCAAAGACAAGCCACCCATGAATGACCACGTTATCAGTCATTGGTATTTGTCTGAATCACTGACCGTGGAGATATTTGGTTCTATAGGTGTTTATCTATAGATCATCTATCTAAGAAGACAGCGCCTTATGTACACCTTCATGCATGTTATCTTCTCGTGCCTGTCATCACCCATCTAGTTCACAGAGTCTCCCTCTCCTTATTAACAAGGAACTTCTCTCAATATTTGTCCTTTGGGTTGAGCCTTATTCTCGTGTCCTGGTCTTGCTGTAGAGCCCCTTAGTTTAAGTGTTTTTACCTATAGTCAAGATTTCTCACCTTCAACGGTTTAGGCTGTACTGCAGCATAGTACAGGTTGGGGCAGTTGAAAGACTGCATCAGGTATAAGGGGTCGCGTAAACCTAAGCATGCCTTGAGCTGGCTGGATTGGAATGAGCACAGAGTCAATCCCTCAAGAAGGGGAGTATAGAAGGTGTAGGGGGTAGTGAGGAACCAGCACTAGAATAGATTTCCTGTAAGATAAGGGTGAATATGTTAGCTGGAACTTACAGGAGGCAAAAAAAATACTTACCTTGGGTTGATGACACCTGAAAATTTGATGTCCTGCTCAGTGCTGTGTGTGAGCAGCTGGATGGTTCCGAACTACGGTTTGAACCGGACCATTGGTCAGGTTCAACCATGGTCCGGTCCATGGTTCCCAATATTGGCCGAACCAGTGTAGAGACTAATATCTCTGTGGGCTTGCAGGGATCTAAAATCCCAATGTCTCCATCACTTCCTAATATAGCATGACTCATATCTCACTCAGCGTGCTCAAATGCTTCATCGGCTCGGTTCCATCGCTCATCCTCCGTCCATCCATTCCATGTCCGTTCGGTTTGTCGGTGCATATTCCTGACTTATTTCCATTTATTCTGACATATCTCTGGTGCTTATGGCCATATTCCATATGTTTTCTGTCATGGACCCTTAGATTACATATTACTCCATATCTGCTTCACTTCTCGGTTCGCTTTAGTGCTTGACAGCGCCTAACATTCTTAGTATATATATGTGTGTCTAAACTGTATAATGATTATCTTTCTGCCTGCACATCATTGGACTCTAAATCTAAGTTTCCCTCCCATAAATCTAAAGTATCTAAGTACAATATGAGCGCTGCCGCCATACATTACTAGAAACTCTGCCAAATTAGTTTTCTGGCTCATTAAGAGTCACTGCGCTCCACCACCCGCACGCGTGCACCACTTCCGCTCAGCGCGCGCTCCTGATATAAATCATGCATTGTTGCTCATCAGTGGCCGTTGTTGCTCATCGGCACTTCACGTCGCCTTCGCTCACTAACGCTTCACTCATCATCGCACGCCTTACTAGGCTTGACCAAGCGCCCGGTCTAGTGTTTCCCTCCATATATACACTTAGAGGAACCTTCTCAATAGCAATCCCCTTGGGCCAACATATATTCCGCTCATCAAGGACTACTTGAGTTCATCTCATACCACACATATTACCCACTTCCCATTCCTCTTCTACACTGGACCAAAATGAGGTTCGTGGTTTGCTGTCTCCCGAACGGTTCGAATTCAGGTTCAGATCTCCCCAAACCATTCTGAACCCCAAACTGAAGCCTTCCTTGCAATATTGGTGAGGCACACTCATGGTCACTTCAACTTCTACCCCAATGGTCTCTTTGACATCTGGGATCCGCGAGATTTGCACCGACTTTGAATGCTGTCTGGAGGCCCACATCCTGCACCTCCGGTTGTCGAATAAAGCCCAAGGTACAAATCAACTCTTAAATCAAGCACAATAAACTCAATAAACTGATTGATATATTACTAATTTACACTGATATATTTTCTAGGATCCTCCAATGCATACAGCTTTGGAGATTGTTTTTTTACTTTGGTCACGCATAAAAGGAGCAAGGCCCACAAGGTGAGTGATATTTCTGCTCAACACAATGTCTGAATCTGATGCATGTGCCCTTAATGCTGATGGCTCTCTTAAGGATGTGAAAGATATTGTGTTTTACCATGATCCTGAAGATACTGTCCCACTATTCCCTGCCCAGCCTACTACTCTCATAGGCTCAGATGCCTTCTCTGTGTTACTGAAGGCTGGTCACAAACCAGTGCCAGTTACAGCTGGTTCTCGACGATCTGTTTGCACTTCCAAGTCATCTGCTCGCTTGCGGGATGCCGAGAATGTTTATTCCTCGATGAGCTGAAAACATGCATTATCCAGCACTACTGAACTTCAACCAGCTTGGAAAAAGGTAGTATCATCCACATCATCAGATGAAGACGATAGCCTTGATGACAGTGATGCTGGCAATGACACTGATCCTCTGGAGCCTGACACTGACCACCCTGACACCAAAGAAGAAGCTGAACTTGATGACAACACTGAACCCAAGGGCGTAGCTGAGAAAGCTACTTTGGGAAAGAGCGAACATACCGCTGACATTTACACAACCTTCACTTGCCATGAAACACACTGGGTATGCAACCCTTGCAAGTATGTAGTTAGCACTGAATGTATTATTTTCTGCTAATGTTTGGTAGGGACGCTGGTGAACCTGAGAGCAGGCACGTCTTTTGAGGAGGTATCTCTACACTCTGCACTCACATTAGTCAGTACATTTATGTCCTTTCTATGATGTCTCTGGACCTTTTACTAACATATATCTATCTATCAGCAAAAAGAACCACTTTCAACTCTACAAGGCTTGCTGCCAAGCTGCGGGAATCACAATGCACCCTCATGCTATTCCAGCTGGCAAAGATCAGGCCCTGTGAGTTTCAACTTATGTTTTGTGTATAATGCAGCACTGAATCATTGCCAGCTCAAGGCAATATACCCTTGATACTATTCTCATCACCAAAGCACCCACATTCACCAAGGCAGGACTCCTGGAGTTCATAATGGAGTTCATTGTGACCAAAGACAAGGCACTGCAGCTGGTCGACAAACCAGCCTTCTGAAACTTACTTTGCTATGTTCGCCCTGGCCTTACTGAACGTGACATTCCTCACCACACCAAGCTCACTGATACTGCAGGCATTTTCTCATTTTCCTCCACCAAACATCCAAAAAACATTGATTGAGAAGATAGAATTTTCCCCTCATTTTGTCTCTCAAAACATTGAAAAAAAGTAATTTGTGTTTCAATGATTTTCTGTGTGTAGGACATGATGCAAAAATTGATCATGTTCCTTCAAGGATAATGATGTATTTTCCATCTATTGTCTTTTAAATAATAGCTTAAAATAATGTTAATTGTCTTCTCTGTGTTTGTCAAATATACTATGTTTTTCAAATGTTCTGTGTATATTTGAAAAACACAGAGAAAAAATCAACTTTATTTTACACTGTTATTTAAAAGACAATAGATGGAAAATATAGCATTATCCTTGAAGGAACATGATCAATTTTTGCATCATGTCCCACACACAGAAAAATTGAAACATGAATTATTTTTTTTCAATGTTTTGACAGGCAAAATGAGGGGAGAATTCTATCTTCTCAATCAGTGTTTTTTGGATGTTTGGTGGAGGAAAATGGGAAAATGCCTGCAGTGTGAGACCATCAAGAAATGCGCAGAAGCCATAGTTAGCATCATATGTGAACGTCTCGCAAAGGTTGATAACAAAGTCTCTAGACATTCGACTCCTGGACCTCAATCATCGGTGACCCATTTTTCTCTGTCACTGGTCATTATATTTGCCAGACGACAAACCCCAGCAATGGGAATTACATCGCGAGCAGCTTAGTTTCGAGCACATTGAGGGCAATCACAGTGGGCAAGATATTGCGTGTATGCTTATTAACTCAATCAACATGTATGACCTCCAAGCAAAGGTAAGGTCTGGCCTACTATCCTGCACTGAAGCTAATGAATCATATAGGTTGGGTGGATGACCTCTGATAATGCAAGCAACAATGATACTGCCATGAAGGAAGTCACTTGTGAAATTGATCCAGAGGGCATCCAGTGGCTGCCTGCCACACACCGTATCAGATGCCAGGAACACATACTCAACCTTGCTGCACGACACTTTGTAGATGCAGTCGCACCCACTCCTCAAGCTGCTCTTATGAAGAAGATGTGTCAAACACTGACTCATTTTGATAGAAAAAGTTGTCATTCTCAGTATCTTAATGCAAAGCTCCAATTGAAACTTGAATGCATTGCAAAGCATATTCGGAATATTCCTGCAATCCATGCATACACCACAGAGAGTCATTGAGACGCTATTGAGAATGGGTGTCAGTGTATCAGTGCATGCAATAAATGCAGCGATAACATCATTGTCCGCAGAGTCTCGCCATGCCATTCAAGCCCTTGGCCAAACACTCCTTGCAGCCTACGCATATGACAATTTCGATGTTGACCTGAAAAAAACGGTCCACACTGTAGGTAAATCTGAAGACACTGATACACCTTACATCCAGCCTGCTATTTCCACTGCAGCATGGTGTTACATGCGAGGACTTGCAGTGCTCATCAACACTGTGGGAAAATTTTCCCCTCAATCCGCACGTCAATGCATCAACAGCACTGAAGGACAGATGGAAAGACCTACTGAATCTACATTCTGATCCCTTGGATGCAACTGGTCTGTCTCATCAAGACTGTTTCAACTCATGGAAAATGCTCTCTGACCTCGTCAACTTTGGTCCCCCATACTTTCATCAGTTCAAGAATCAGCTTTGCAACCCAGGGACAGTTGAGGCTATTCCTGTCATAAAAACTCCAATTCTTGCTGTGCGGGTCATGCATGTTTGCAACTCCACAGTATCTGACAATATATGTTCAGTAGTTGAGCTGTTGCAGCAGGGGGGCATCGAGGATCCAGTAGAGATTGATGACCCAGACACAGACATGCTGAACATGTCAGAGTATGTCATACTATTCCATGGTGATCTTGGCACCGGGGAACATCTTCTGGCTGCCCAGCAGCGAGGTGCAATCGAGGCCACACGATGGAAGCGATTTCAGCATGTTATCTTTATTCCAAGTTTGTTCCACCTCAAGATGGCCAGCGCAGATGCTATATGGCGCATTTTTCTGCAGCCAATTTCAGCTTGGGATGATGACAGCGTATTGATGCAGGACATTGGAATGCTTCGACCTAAGGAGACTGGAATATATGGATCAAAACCGGGTTTTTGCCACATGCATCAACTTATCACATACAATGTTATCTGCTGACGACTCAATTGTTGGAGAGTCGAGGCCAAAAAGCACAACTCCTTGCACACAGATCTTGATGCATTCACTGCATCAGAGCCTTCATTTGATGACTTGAAAACCATGGCAGATCAACTTGCACACAATTATATTGCCAATCACAGAACCAGTAAAATATCAGGTATGTCCATTCCCTTGTTGACTGGTTCAGATGTGTTGCTCATTGTGAAAAATTATAGGTCACCTACCATTCCAAAAGATTCTGTCGTACAGAGTCCCCATGTCTCACCCGAAATGAGGTGATTAACTTCATTTTCTTTGTACTCCGTTGTCATATCTGAATTGTACCATTTGATTTTGTGACACATGTCAAGGGGAAGTCATTTCTGCAGTATTTTGGCAGCTGCAATCATGTCCTGGATATTATCAAAGAATATAAGAAATTTTGGAGGTATAGGATCATTGTTTGCTCCAGCCATTAGGGATCAGAAACACCAAGTCTTGGTATGACGAAAGTGAGTACTTGATCTTCCAAACACAAAGTTTGATGTTAGAATGATCAATAGATGTCTGAATGGTAACAAGATTCTCTGAGTGCAGATAAAGAAGTCTCTTTCCATGAGAGGAATCAATTGGTGTAAGTGTTGTGGACGCCATCATGAAAGGTACATAGCACGGCAGAATATAACACAAGTGCTGTAATTCCTTGTATTCAGGACAAAAATCCCCCCATGAAGTAATGCAGTGCACTTCATCAAAGACAATGCCCATGATATCTGACACGAACTCTCATTTATGCAGCAGTTTCTCAAATTCTCCCCCTGGTTTCATCAGCTGTTCTGGACTGACTATCACAGCGAGGTATTTTTTGTTTTTGATGTCCTGTTACAATGAAAGCTGTAGGCCAAACCTTTGTCACAAAGTATGAAGACACTAGACTCACGCGAAAATTACACAATGTTGCTGTCTCTGCTGATATGGATATGCTTCGCATGCCAGCCTTTGCAAGTGAGTTCACATTTTGTTTTCCGAGTTGATTTAATGGTGTAACAATGATTTGAATCACTGGTTTCAAGAGTAGAGGCATCCAAAAGGTCATAGTCTTCCCCAGTGATGTGCCAGCAATGCATACTATATCACGGTCTCTCTGGATGAAAGCCTTGGCAACTTTCATCTGCCAAAGACATGGCCACTTGCCAAAATGCTCTTGTGTGACCTGTCATATGTCGCTGAAACTAGGGGCTTTGGAAGGTTGCTCTGACATGTGCAAGACATAGGCTAAAATAATTTACATTATTGCTATTCCACTATAGTATTTTTAAGGCTCCGCACATCGCCAGCAGTGATGTGCCGCTGTGGCTGGCGATGTTTACAAATGTTATCTGCCAGCCGCTGCTGAGAGGATGAAGGATTAAAGTTGTGCTGGGTTTGAAAATTTCTTGTACTACGAGATTACTCAATATTCTACCAAAGCCCTAGTGGTCCGCCTTCACCCTCGAAGTAGTGGGTGGGTAGGAGCCTGGGTGGCCTCTGGAACCTCTTGATCGGAAAGCCTCTTTTAGAACAACTGCAAGCCACACATGATTATGCACACAACACCATAGTCATCCCATCCACACCTCAACCATATATAATTCATAATATTACTAACTTACATACAGAACCCAAATCCATGCCATCAGATGACCCTCAATTAGTATATAATCTGCAAGCACCAGAACCATGAGACTGTAATACAGAACCACAAGCCACAAGCCATCAAGTACATAATAATGGCACCATCTACCTAACTGTTACAGTTCCTGCAGATCCTGAGCAAAACCTTTCCTCTCTTAGTCCACCAGTAATCACTGATGAACACTTTGTCTTCATAGTTTCCTCACAATGCACGAATTAGCAAATAAGTGCCTACATGGAGGCGTTATCCCAAGCAGGAGCTCATGTAATCACAGCAGATAGGAAGCTGCAACTATCCCCAAAGATAGATACCTCATATAAAACACCCTGCTCTCCAATTCTATTCACAGGAACAATCCCTCCATCCAATAACCAATTACCAAGCATCCCAATCTGGCCAATACTTGAAGATACAGAAGAACAAAATCTAGGAAAAATTCCTGAGTTCCCCACACTAATGTTGATGTCCAGTGTTTATTTAAGACACACCAACTGGTTCAACCCAATAAGAGTAATAGAGATCCTGCAACAGATTAAGATTGGGTATGACTTGAGCCAAACACAGAAAGACAAGGTGTGTGACCTATGTGCAGAATTCACTGATAATTTGCTCTAGCCATTAGCAAGGTCTTCCCAGTAGACTTCCAAACCTTCAAACTCACATTTCCAGAAGGAACAAAGTTCACTACCAAGATAAATCAAAGACCGCTAACACCTCCACTGTGACACTTCACGTCGGGTGGGAACAAGTGTCTTTTGATACTGGTGTCAAGACCTATAGAAGTTACAAGTTCCATATCACTCCCGTTTTCATCTAGCAACGAGTTCTCCTCAGCCATCTCTCATCTGACAATCACCTGCTCTCGGGTCTGCTTCTCTGTACCATCCATCCATGTTCTTTCCATGTCCACCGAGCTCCACTGGTGCATGCTCATTTTCTCTTTCAGGTTGACTAATAGGTAGTATGGCTTATTACATGTATCTGCATATTCTGCTCTGCGTGTGTTCAGGTTACATATTACTTATCTGCCTCATTCTTCATCGCCAAAGTTCTCACCTATGGGTTCTGGATGCTCACACAGTAGGATATAATCTCGCACACTACAGCAGTACAGTACTTCCCTTCCCTCAGATACTACCTTTGTTTTGTGGAGTCACTTAGACATTCCTAGTATCTTTGATCAATTGACAAGCTTTAATTTTCTCTCACTTTGAACCTGCGCATTCTTGACTGCTCCAAGTATGCACCTCTAAGTTTCCTTACCTAGGCTCTGCGCAGATCTGAACCGTTCTCAGGTTCCGACTTAGCATTTCATACCTAGTTATACCTTGGCCATAAACCTCATCTATACCTAGCCACTACCCATGGAACCGCACTTTACCTAGTATCCATTGCTCCTTACCTAGATACCTCTCGCTTTCGCTCATTTCTCATCGTGCCTTCACTGGATCCATGGTCTTGCCTTCGCTCTCACCATCGGCTTTACTTTCCCTGATCACACTCGTTCTCTCATGTTCCGCATTTGCTCCCTTCACATTTTTATTTGAAGAAAGTGCTTCATAGCAATCCTCTTGGGTCAATATAGCACACCCACACTCAGTAGATCTTATTAGTTCTCTAGCTTACTTGCTAGCCAGTCACTATTACTTCTTCACACCACAATGCACATTCCTATATGAACGACTAAACAAACTTGAAAATGCTGGGATAATATGTCACATCACCCCAGAAGATGTTAAGGCTGCCAGCCCCACCGTACTTGCTCAAAAAGCACATGGCTCGGGAAGCCGTCCAATTGAAGAGCTCCTCCATTGTGTCAATGATCAATGTGCAGCACATGGGTTACTGACAAGGGATAACTTGCCTCAAAGACCACCAAACTCATTTGTCAACATGAAGGGAAACGGAACACCCAAATGAAGGGTGTGTCAGATTTTTGCCCAAATCAACAACACCAGCCAAATACCACCAGTACCTCAAGGTGACATCAGGACAAAGTAGCAATAGTGGTAGTCAGAGTGGACAATTTTGACGTGATTCAGCGTGCGATTCAGAAAATGATTTTGGACACTGAGAATCGAATTTCACGTTGAATCGTGCTGAATCGTCGAAGCGTCTCTGGAGGTGCTTCTTGCAATTCTGAATCGGATTTCAGACTGTAAACAGCTGTATTTCTTCTATTTAAAATACAAATATCTAATTAAATATACTTGTCCTGCGTGCAAGCAGCTGTGAGCACCCTCTCTGCACTAGAGCAGCATGGCACCCAAAGGAAAAGGTGTCCAATCTTTGCCGAAAGCTCGTAAGAAAGTGTCTGTCAAAAAGGTCAAAAAAGCGCCACAAGTGGGTACCAAAGTTGAAGTCAGAGATACCACGGAGGCTATCGAGAAGGCCGAGAACGAGAAAAATAATGACGAGGAAGTCCCTGACATTGAGTGCGTGAAAGATATCAGAAAACAGATGAAACATAACTCACCTTGAGCTGTCAGTTGGACAGATACTTTGACCTGGTCCCTCGTCAGCGCCGTGACATCTGATGACACCATCCGAAAGGGCTTGTACCCTGAACCAGGTGCAAATGTGTCAACTAAAAATGGAGGAGGTGCAAAGAAAACAGAACACCACTGGGCACTCTGTAAGGTTCTGTTTGATGGCCACAAGGAGTATGGCAGTGCATTCGAAATCGTACTCAGCAACCCAAAAGAAAAAGCCTTGCGACAAGCATGGGTGCGAAAGATCAAAAACCGAATGCAGACGTATGTCGTCGTTTGGTTCTGCGATGTTTTAATACTGACCCTTTTGGCAGTTTAGAACGAAAAACACTCACATATGTCAAGGAGATGGGGACAACAGGAGCTGGCATTGAGCATGAGGAAGATATCGACATGAGTCAGGTGAACAGCTTTACTACAAGATGGGGTAATGTCACAACCCAATAACGAATTAACGCTGGGCAGAGACTAGGACTCAAACAACAGAATAATCACACAGAGGTAGGCAGCAGGTACGTCTTGGTATTGCTCACTTGGAGATACAAGAGGTTTGAACTAAAGAACTACTGACTATGATGAGCTACCTATATACACATATTGAAACTGAGATCGAAACTGAGTATGAACTAACTAGCCAATCAGAATAATTAAAGGTATCGTACGATTCTATATATAACTATGATGTCATAACATGTGCCACAGCTGCAGTAAGACTCTGGAACATTCCAAGAGTGTCGCGAGGCATGACGTCAACATCTTCGGCATTGTCCGGTAGATCATGTGACTCTGGTAATTCTACAATAGACGCAATAATAGGAACTTCTTCAACAGTAAACATATTCTTAGGAACAGGCGCTGTGACTGGGCGCTTAAAGGACTTAGAATTAAGGAATGAATAATGGTTTGTATTTGGAACTCGTGACAGGTAAGTGCCACTAACTCAGTCATCATTTTCCGTGCTGAGACAACTTTGCCAGTGCAAATTAAAGAAGAATTTCTGTGGTTCTTCGAGATGCGAGCTCTTGTGGCTAATCGTCCTAGTCGGATTCCTACAGGTGTTGGTAATGTAGATTCAGCTGCCGACCTTTCAATTCTGTTACTGAATGATGGTGAAGAGTTCTATGAGTCACAGAGCGAGCCTGCAGGATTGTCTGATGGAGAGCATGATGGAGAAGACTCTAGTGGTGATGACACAAAACCTTCAAAATGTCGGCATCTAACAAAGGTCGAAGATCCTGCTGATGAAGATTGCAAGCCTGCAAAGAAGTTAAAGGTTGCAACGAGCACTAAACCATCCAAGACAAAATCGTTCCTAGACAGGTATGCTGAAGTGGCTGAGCAGGAAGAGCTGACTGTGCAGAAACGGGCGGATGCACTCATGGCCAAGGCATCACTTGCTGTTGTCAAAGCAAAAGCCAAGGCTCAGATCAAGCTGGAGAAGGAGAGACGCGAGACGGAGAAGGAGAGGAGGAAGACTGAGTATGCTTTGAGGAAGCTGGAGCTTGAGCATCAATTTCGCATGGCTCAATTGCCTCGCATTGATCAGGCTGGCCCTTCACAAGCACACTATCGATCAAATGATGATGATCCATACGAACTTCCAATTCTCCCACAACCAGAGTACTCTGATGGTGGAAGTTCAACTAGCTATCATAATTACTAGACTTGTGACCAACGTTGAGCTCTTTTTTGTTTAAATTTGAGTAATGCACCTTTCAGCTGCTCCCGAAACCTTTTGGCTGATTTTAAATGTTGCTGCCATCTGTTTTGTGCAACTTCAAAAGAGTTGTTTTCTGAGTCCGAAGATGATGAGAGACCTTCCTCAATGAATGGATCATATGTCGGTGCATCGTAATCACCATCCTCCAGCTCATCTGCCTCGCACATCATTGCAAAGGCATGCAAAGTAATGCAGGCCACAGTCCAGTATGTGGCAATCTGGTGAGTTGCTTCATCACATATTTTGATATGAATACCTTTGAGTGAGTGAAAACGCCCCTTCAAGTAGCCAATGGCATGTTCTGATCGGATCTGAACCATGGAAACATGGTTGTTAAACACCTGATTATCAGATTCCTCCCGTTCTGGCATCTTATAAGGTGCAACCACCCAAGTTTGTATCTGGAGCTTTAGAGTTAGTCTACTCAGGCTTCAGCGAATAAAAGCTCTTACTGGGTATGCAGAATCTGCCCAAATAAATTCCCCATCTTCGAGTATGTCATCATGGTTCTGAGCAATGAATGTCTCTTGCCAAGCGCTCACATTGTGAGTGCTCCCAGTATGCCCATAGCTAAAATCAATAATTCGGAGATTTGGGAGTGAGACGATCTATTAAAATCATCAGCTCAAATATACCGAGTCACAGATAAAATATAAATATAAATACTTGGACATTCAATGAATAATTTGACTTTCGGTCAAAGTAGCTTTCTCCATACCAATGGGGTTGGTCATAAAGAGGAATGAGTGTGCCATCAACTAGGCACCACCCGTTCCTCCATGCATGACAGGAGTGAGCTTCAACCCAGGACTTTGCAAGTTCTTTTTCATCTATGGTGGGAAATTGAACAGCAGATTCATGGAAAGATGGGCGAAGGACAGCTGTCATGACTCTGCGGGTGATGAGGTGGACAGTTCCCTTGCCAAGCCCAGCCTAATCTGCGACTGCCTGCATGCACCTGTGACTCCCACATAAGCCCACTAATAAGAGGTGATAGACCCAGGCCTCCGCACCACCAAGCTGAGGGGGTTGCAGTCTTTCCAGGCTAGGTTCAATAGTGGTGCAATACCTCTGCTCCAGACTTGTGAGAAAATCACTGATATAGTAAGCGCATGACAGCTCGGCAACATCCGCCATATCTATTAATAATGATACCGCCTGTCAGCAACAATAGCTTGGGTATCAAGCTCGCTGTGCCCGACGATGAGCAGCACGTTCTCACTCTTTTCTTGGCTGTTTGATGGCGCGTTTTTTTTGATCAATTTGCAGTAGCTACTAGACTAGTAAATGATGGATTGGGTAGTCAATATACCCTACATACATGCGCTATTATACATAATGACCTTGCTCTGTAGTACCTATCAGTCTGTAGTGATGCGCAGCACCTTGTCAAATACTTCTAATGCCTCCTCCATATTGCTGACCTCCTCCTTCTCTTCATAATCTTCCTCGGCCTCCGGAGCAACAATAGACTGGCTGATGGCTGATGGCTGGTTAGCGGAGAGGCACTACTAGAGAGAGACTGAACGAGGCATGCGGGGATGGTAACACAGGGTGTACTGGTGCTGTCTCCGGTGTTGCTGAAGGTACAAACACCAGGAGAGATAGTCCCCGAGAATTATGGGAGGTTGGCTATGTCCTGCAGACGCTGAAGATGGTGTGAGTTGAACCGACTGCGAACTTGGCGCCAGAGATTGATCTGGTGTGCAAGGACTAGATGCGAAGCTTCTGCCTGACGTTGACACTCACGGAGGTAATGCTCCTCATCACGCAAGTATGTAGCTAGACGTCGCACTTCAATGTTCAGCTGCGTGATTTCTTCTCTTGTACGGCACGTCTTGAAATATAAGTTGGTTGCTTGACGTACTGATGGCATTGCCCAGGGACGGTGTGAGACATCATCATGCGAGTCATGAAGAAGGTCGAAGTTGGCAAGAAAGGCATACTCGACTACCTCCTCCCATTTGAGCATTCGGTGAGGGGGGGACAATGCACGTGCTGCTATATTGAACCTGTCGAGGGCAGTCTTGATGGCAGCAGAGCATGCTTGCAAAGCCTTTGCGATATGCTTTCGCAATTTATATCCTATAGATAGAATGTTGTCAGCTGAGTAGAATACATAGTCGAAAGAAATGCTTACCGGTCCCAGACCTGTTCATCTTTGTCAGTTCAAATATGCACGCAACGACCAAACCTTCCAACATGTCGAGTGCGTGTTGGTACTTTTGATTGGTGACTAGACGCCCTGTGTTTTGCCAGTCCGGATCCTCTGGTGTCCAGAGCAAGTGATGCTGAGTTTACATTCGAGTTCTTGCACAAGTCATAGGTCCTTCTCATAGTTCTCTAGGGCATGCCGTCGAGCTGTTTCGATTCGTCTTGTAGCACTTTCGTCGGATGCAAGGCTTGCGGGTGTGGCCACAGCCCATACTGAGCTTGTAGCATCAAGATCCTCCCTGTACATGATCAAATGTCAGATACCTCACATAGACAGACAAAATACTCACTTGCTTGCAACTAGATTGACAAGCTTTTGCCAATACTCCATTTGCAACGTCTCATGCTCGGGTTTGGGGCGGAGACTCTATAAGTAAATCTTCTCCTCCGTCAGCCAGTCCTCGAAGATGGACTCATGAGTGATATTGAGATTGTGCATTAATTTTGGGAGTGTGATGCGACTGTCGGCTATAATGTTGAGAGTTTGTTTGTAGTTGTTGTACAAAAAATCGGCTGCAAATCAAGACTTTAGAAAAGGTACTGATGCAAACATAGTGAATGTACATAGATTTGCATATACCTCATAATCATCGTTGTACTCGAAGTAGCTTGTGATAGCCTGCTGACGGTGGAAAATACTCGAGTAACACGTCGTAGGTGCCAAAGAATTCGATTTTGAGAATGTGCGCTCGCACATTTCCAAGTCTTCAAGTCCCAAGCCTGGAACATATCTTGCAAGATGATCGAGCTGACACAGTCAGCGATGAGCATGCCTGTGGAATGCGCCAATGAGGGATGTATAATGGAGGGAACGCGCGTGGGGACCTAAAGGACTGTTATTCAGTGTTGTCTTGAACTGACACCCAATGTCATATCCACTGCCAAGGCCGTCACCAAAGACGTCCATCAACTTCGCAATGACAGCTAGTGGGTATTTTGCACTGTGTGATATAGGTATGAATGTTAGTGGACAACATGAAAATAGCTCAGACATACAACTCCCCACTCTGAACCATATCAATAATTAAGAGGCTAAATCCATGTCGGCACACCGCAGTGAAGATCCCTGTTTCATCATATATCCCCCATGCCCTCTTCGTCTTCTCCTCGTCCATGTTGTTCCACTGTTCCGTGCAAGGGTTTCCCAACGAGTCTGAATCAAGCGTAACCTGCAAATGAGTCAAAAAAAACCTGTTGTTAAATGAAATAGTAGACGTACCTCTGAGTCCTCAATGCCTACTTTGCTCCACTGATTAACATAGTCACACGAGAGATAATGATCCCCTCGGACGTGCTGCGTGGTGGGAAGTTCAGATGACTCCCCGCTATCGTTCTCATCTATGCCAAGAGTTCGACGAAGGATATGCTTGAGGGAGTCGTTGCCATCCATAGTGAATAGCAGAGTGAATATGAGAGGTACCTCGTCCTTGAGAGTATAGGTACACAGGGGACAGGCGTGTTTGAGCCGCCAATCCAGAGAATCCCGGTTGAGGGCCTCAGCTACCAGAGAATCTACAGAACTGCGAATTAGCATGTAAACGTCCAAGGTGATTGTGAGTTGGCGTGAAAGGTAGCGATGATACTCGACCTTGAAAGTTTTATTCATAAGCATGATAATAAACTGCAAAATTGAGTAACTTACCCCATGTAGATTGCAAAGTGTCTTGCTGAATGCCTGCATGGAAAAGTGAGGGCTTCGAAAATGAGCAATACGATATAGCTTGAGTGCATCAATGGTGATGACAACAGATGGTGAAATGGGTGAACATGGGATCATGCCGTGATGGACAAGGGCAGATGCAATATATGTGTCTTTTGCGCTGATTGTGAGAGCTGTGTTCTTAGCGTCTATTATGTAGTATGCCGTCAGGGAACAATCTCACAGTGTGAGAGGGCACAACTCACAGAATACGTCAATGACTTTACCTGTCCAGAGATCTGAGTTAGCCTCCTCCGGCACACACCTTTGATCAAAGAAGCCCTTTTTACCACTTAGTTCACAGTCCAGACTCTACTCCAGAAATGCGCTTGTGATAGCTGGCAGCTGGATATTGAATGCGTCCACACATCGCTGTATTCGATCACGCCACGTGCAATGGTCGATCCGTCATGTGTTGCTTCTTGATGTAATGCTGTTGCCCCATCCCAGGTAAGAGGACTTGAAGTTGACACAAGTTTAGATAGACTTATGGTTTCCAGAAATCTCCCACGATCTCACGAGCGAGGTCCTCGACAACTCCTATGTCGATGTGTCGTTCTCGCAAGATCTCGTTGACATCAGTCGACATGTCTCCGGCCTCGAACATGACATCATCTGTGTTATCTTGGCGCTCAATCAAGGCTTCTAAGGCCTCGCGTTGTTCCGTGGTCAACACTAATAATAGGTAAAGTCAATAACAATTCTATAAAGGTATTAGCATGTGATGCACCTTGCAGACGTTCTTTTCTCCAGACCTGTATGCTCGTGGCTCACTGAGACAGAGCCCTAGGCCCATACACTGTGTTAGTGGCCACACGGTAACCACTCTGATCATGCTTCGAGCTTAACTCACGAACCTTTCGACTAGACAGTCCCATTCGATTGCGAGCTTTCGACATGGCCATGATATTGAGCGGATGCGGGAATTTTTTCAATCAACATCGAGATGTATTCAGGTGAGCTTATGGATGCACGTGACATTAAGTTTACTGACCTCTGAGCTTGTTCTCTGTCAGCGTGAAAATGAGCTCCAGAAAATCGACATCATCCCGAATGTCAACGACAAGTATGAGGAAAAGTGGGGGTCTAGAGGACTTCATGCAGGCCATGAAGATATCAGGTAAGCTTCAATATTTGTTTGTTTCGATCCTCACTAATGAAATCAGACGTCAGTTTCGACTCTGTCACATATACCAAGAAGACCATTGAGGAGTCCGTCACTTTCAAGATCAACGACCAGCCCCCACCATCCACACCACCAACGTCTACCAAGGCTATAGTGTTGTCCTACGGCATCATCTTGGAAGGCTGGCCGACGACTATCCCATTCACATCCCCATGGAATATCCACACCATCTCCGACATGCGAGCACTCCATGATGCGCTAAAAGGAGGGACCTGTGCATGGAGGACAATGTTGTGGTCCGAGCTCGAAAAATACAAGGCGGACATAGAAAGGCGGCAGGTTGAAGGTGAAGTCATCAGGAAACCTCATAAGAAACGTTCAGATGTGGGTACATCACGCAAATGCAAGACTGCACCGAGAGGGGACAAAGAGAACGAATCTCTTACCAAATGGTCCAGAGAGAAGAGGCGTGCATCGCAAAGGCAGCCCAAGAGCTGCGAGATCATGAAAGACAGTGATGTGAGCCAATCTCCTGACAATGACGAAGAGGACTAGGAAGTATGTTAGCGTTTGCTCTATGTTATGCTGTCTAGACGTTCCCCGCACTTATTAGAATGAGTTAATCTATATGTAAATGATCCTATTCAGTTCCTAGTAGCTACCACAGATCAATCAAAAAAAATGCGCTGTCAAACAGTCGAGAAAAGAGTGAGAACATGCTGCTCATCGTCGGGCACAGCGAGCTCAATACCTGAGCTATTTTGCCAACAGGCGGTATCATTATTAATAGACACAGTGGTTGTTGCCGAGCTGTCATGCGCTTACTATATCAGTGATTTTCTCACAAGTCCGGAGCAGAGATATCGCACCACTATTGAACCTGCAAGTTGGTCAGCAAGGGGAATTTGTTCGTTCTGGGAGTTGTTGGAGAACACAGGATCGGGTCCAAGTTTGGTGCAGATTTTGTTGAAGGTACATGGGGATACTCGAAGACTCTCGTGAAACTTGTCAGGACGTTGTGGCTTTAGTACATCTAGCACATGGCGCATTTGTGATGGGCCACAAGGAAGCTGATTGCAAGCCATCTGGTAGCGGTGTGAATAAGAATCACAAATGAACTCATGGACAAGCTGGCCAAGTTGTGCCTCCACCATCACAGTGGGTGAACTACCAGCAATATCATCGTCATCGTTGAGCTTGTCATCAGCCTCAGTGCCTGAGTCTGGGTGAGATACTGCAGATTCAGAGCCCGTGTCCAAGTCAGTACTTGCTAGCCCTGACACTGTACTGAAGCTGGATGGATCCAAGTATACTGATGAGTTGTCCAGAAATTCATTGGTGTCTGACTTGGAGGCTGAAGATGAGGATGTGGTGCCAGTGAGGGAACTCGAACAGTCAGAACTCATGGACATGCTGGTATCAAGGTCCGAGTCTGAACAGGATGTTAATACTGAGTCTCCATCCTCGAGAACATCATCTGAGCTGTTGAACTCATGTCCTATCAGGCTTTCAAGCCTCAGTTGGTGACACAAGCGTATTTGCGCTCGTTTTTTCTTTACCTGCAATGCAAACATAATTAGATTCTGTACTTGCACTTGCCTTTGTGTCTGTCATGGCATCTTAAGTGTGTGTAGCAGCGGTCGGCATCACTGGTGTGCTCGAAAGAGGTATCTGGTAATTGCATGTATAACCTGTGAGGTAGCTTAGCATACATATATAATAATTTATGAATCCAACAAGAATCGCGTTGAGAATTTGTTCTGGTTGTGGGGTGTTCAAAGTGGATGGCAATTTTCACGTGATTTTCGATTTCCGAACCGTCTCGTAATCACACACTGAATCATGTCAAAATTGTCCACTCTGACTACCGCTAATGACTCAGTGGACACTGGTGGATCAGCGTGATTGACTTTACAGTGGGCTTTTACACAATTCTGGTAGATGAAGAAACTCAGCCATACTTAGTGTTCCATATGGAAGGTCGAGAATACAATTGCTATTGTTGAATGCCATTTGGACTAACAGGCACACCTGCAAACTATATGGCCACTATTGTGTTGAAGGATCTTATAGGTTTATTGTTCAAACTCTATGTTGATAATATGTGAATGGCAGGTGACATATTTGAGGAGAAACTAACACACTTATGCAGATTTTTCGAATGAGTCAGGGCTATACACCTCTTGTTATCTCCATCCAAAACACAGCTGTTTATGACTGAGATTGTCTCCATAGGAGCTAGGGTTGGATGAGATGGGATAAAACCGGACACACCCAACATGATTCATAATCTTATGCAATTCCTCGGACTAACTGGTTATTTTAGATCGCTGATCAAAGACTACACTAGAAAAGCAGCAAAGACATAGCCTCTCCAGCGCCTTATGTAACTGTCCTGTCGTGTCCAGTCCAGTCTAATCCATATCCATATCCATGCCTGAATCAGTTCACTGACCTGATTAAGTAAGAGTAGTGTGAGTAAGCGCGTGTAGGTAACATAGAATCATAAGGAAAATATGGTAGTCATGCAAGCTGTGTGCTTGTCTTGTCTTTGTCAGGCATCCTTTCACATCTATCCCTTCATTATTCCCTGTGCGTCGCTTGATATTAGGTTATTAGGTGTGGTTGGCACACAGCACTTTACTCAAGGTAGTGTCAGAATGTGCAGCTCTTTGTGCATATTGGGGTCAGTAACCAAAATATCCTGCTCCTGTCAGGGAGATCAAACATGTGGCAAGTAGTCAGCTTAAAGAACAGGCAGCCAAGAAGAATCTTGAAGCTCGCACAAGGTATGACTTGTACTTGGAAGTACAGTGGTCTCCCTCCAAAATCAAGTGGTACATTCTCGATGATGCTGAGTGTTATGTCCTTGTTGGTATTTACTGATTCCATGTTTAAGCGATGGTCTGACTGCAAACCAACACCAAGCAATTTCCATACAGCTGCCGGCATCACAACAACTTCAATGCCTTGATCTAGGACACAAGTGACTGCCTGCCCTTCGACCATGGTTGCATGAATGCAGCACAATGGTGCGAAATGGTCTGCTACAACTCAGCCATCATTGCTTTGCAAGTGCTTGGCATCATAGTTGCACATCCATTCATCAGAAACTGGGTGTCCTGTTAGCTCATTGACCAATACTGTACCGACTGTGACATGTTTGGTGGTGGTGAGGTCGCAGAATTACTTGCAGATGTTGGGTGATATTGCGAATAGTTCCCTTGTTGAAATGCTTATACTAGTTATCCAGTAGGTGCTCAAGGATGCACTTATCAGCATCCTTTCCTCTAGGCCATGTGAGTACTAATTAATATGATGCTATTTTTGCCAAAGTTGATGTCATTGGTGTTGTCAAATCTGCAGGGTCAGTGTGCATTAAACCAGGTGAGGATGAAGATGAAGTTGCAGGAGTGGTGGTTGCCTTGCACATTCCTGTGTTGATGATATGGCTGCCGCTGGTACCGTTATCGCTTTCATGACTTCTGGCACCTTCCTTTTACTAGACAAAGCTAGAACAGCAGGAGAAGACAATCTACTGACATTACATAATTAAATGCAACATAGGTTGCAAAGACATTAGTACTGACCTCCAGAATTACTTTGAAGTCCTGTAGGAAATGCCATTCCATTGACTCAATTTTTTATCATATATAGAGTGTTGATTTGTGGACTCAAAGAATAAATCAACTGCCTAGGCAGCGATCAAGGCAAACAACTACTGATGTCTCCTCTTCCCTGGCAATCCAGTAGGCAGTGAGTGCCATGAACGGGCAAAGTTTCTGATCCGATCAGAGGTCAGATGTAAAGGATATTTTTCCTTGTGCCCTCTGTAAGAATATGAGACACTTGATGGGGCTCTTGACAACCAGACACTTACTGCAAGATCACTTTTCAACGCCTGGAAATACTCATGCCATGCTCAATTCATGGAATTTGGTGCAATGGGGAATGTCTGACTCGTTGACATTCTTCTGCAGAAGACATCTCAGGCATGGGTCTTGGCTATCTGAGGCACACTGCATTCATTATCAATTTTTGTATTGTGAAGGAATACTGGAACACCACAACCAGAGTCCATATCCCATTTTGTTAAAACCAACATCTCTATACTCGAGCGCAAAGTCAACACCATCATTGAAGTCTTATGCGATGGAGTGAGTATCAGCATTATGGCCAGCCTACTGGATGATGCATGGGGACCTTTCACAAACATGCTCCTCCACTTTTGCTGTATCATGATCTGGATTTCAAAACTTAATTGATCAGGTCATGAACCTTGGGAATGAAGGTAAGCTTTAACTCACTTGACCTATCAATGTTGATTAATTATTGATGGAAGACAGATGAAGCAAACCACTCACCTGACAACAGTACTAGGTAGGAGTCCTCACATTTTACAGGCAACATCTATCCACTCATCTGCACACTCTACTGGATCATCACTGTATTGCGATCTGGTTTCTGGACTTGATTGATCAGCCAAGGATGCAGATAAGCTTTACTTCACTCAATATATCCAAGTTCCAACTGATTCTGAGATTTAGTGCCTATCAGAACATATATCTTATGGTATGCCTATCACTCTATAGGTGGTGTGCATTGGGGAAACCCTATTTCACATGTTGTACTGCCTATGACCACCCTGGTGAAGAAGATCTCATGGTATGTACCCTGGGCATATGTTCAATGGTCCCCCTTGTATTGTATCACAACTAATGATAGTGTGTTCATAAATTAGACCCATTACTTACATAGACTTGACTATAGTCCAGAGTTCATAGTTCTACATGCTTCGTGCATTGACTTTGAACTCTCAGGTACAGTACATTAGAATAGCTACTTAATATTATTGTGCATTGATTTTGAACCCTCAGCTTATTCTAATAGGTGGGGGAGCAACAATGTGGGCAACAGCAGGGGATGATGAGAGGTGCAGCAGCAGGAGTAGGCATGGTGGCAATCTGACTTTTGTTCTGGGGAAACAACAGGGCATACCTTTCATCAAAGTCAGCTCGTTCTGAAATGATTGTCTTCTTAGTAGTGGGATTATAGAACTTCCAGCCCTTGTAGCCCTGAGAATACCCAATAAATGCGCATGTTTTCATATGAGATCCCAGTCCTGCTCTCTTGTCCTTCTGCACATGCACATAGGCTGTGCAACCCCAAACTCAAAGATGGGAGATGTCTGGCTTCCTTCCATGCCACAATTCATAGGGAGTAGCGCTTTTGACAGCATTAGTAGGGCATCTGTTCCACACATGGACTAGGGCAGACAGAGCCTCTCCCCGAAAGTCTTGGGCAGTCCAGACTCGTCCAGCATGGTGGTGAGGCGCTCCGATAGCAGTCTATTAGCTATCTCAGCAGCTCCATTCTGCTGGGGTCGCGCTCTAACAGTCTGTTGGCGCTCTATGCCACAAGATGCTGTGAACTGCAAAATGTGTTGCTCATGTACTCCCCTCCCTTGTTGTCTCTTAGAATTTTAATTTTTTGCTCTGACTGGTTCTCAGATATGCCTTGAATGATTTAAACACTTCAAAAACATCAGACTTTGCTTTGATTGGAGTGACCTCACGATACCAGTCATACAAGATATAGAAGATCAACACATGATTGTCGGTGAATATGCTAGTGATTTTCAACACATGATTGTCGGTGAATATGCTAGTGATTTTCAATGGTGACACCCACTGATATGAGACATTGGATATGACTGGCCCATAAGCTGGAACATCATTGTCACATTCAAAGATATCTCTCTCCCTGGCCCACTCTGCCAGTGCCAATGTGTCCTTAAGTCTTTGATAATGGGGTATTTCCCAGGGGTTGATGATAGTGATGGAGACAAGATCCTTGCATCTTTCCTTATACCGTTGGATCTTTGTCGCCAAATTTTCATTGGTCTGTGTGAAGGTAACCTCAAAGATCCAGAACAGCTTTGCATCACTACTGGAGTCTTAGAATTCTAAAAACATGTCAGGATCTCCAATAACCTGTCCCTGAACCTTGATTGTGGTGAAGAATCACACAAGGCACTTCAGACACTATAGCATATTTATTGAGGGGCATCTAGTTGGTGGCACCATTGATGCCCTTGCACAAGCGGTATCTAGAAACTATTGTGAGTGCAGGAAGGCAGTTTGGCTAGGAGTACACTGTGGTATATCAAGGAAAGGATATTGGTCAGTAGCGATCAAATATTTCACTGTGTGAAGTTCCCATCTGTCCTCGCCCAGGATGATTATTGTTGATATACCTTCACCATGTGGCTCATCCTACTCACACTCCGTCACTTGAGGGCAACTGTGATGTATCTATGGCTCCATTGGATTCTTGGAACAATGACATTCCTGGATTCCAAGTAGCTTCTCTCTCAACTGGTCTTTACATCTAGCTCCTTGAATCTCTTTGCACACAGAACATTAAAATTAATCTAAGGTTTAAACCACTTGAACAACTTCATGACTGACTTGGATTCTTGAAATGATGACATTCCCAGACTCCTAAGCAGCTTCTTTCTAGGCTTGCTTTTGGCTTCTCATGTCACCTAGTTAATTACATGCACAGTAGACCAGGTTTCCAACCTTGTATGAGAGGCTTGGCTTTCTCTCTTAGCTGGACTGTTCAATTGAAGCGCCTCAATGTCAACCCATCGAAACCATCCCTAATTCCGCACCACACAGATGGGCACAGACTACCATTAGGCCAGGTTTCAGGATGCAGATTCTGTCACACTGATATCCTAGACCTTTGTGTTGTTTTGATGATTTTGAAGTTATCCCCCTTCTGTGTCTCCGCTCAGTCATTTTTAGCTTGTGTTCTTTCCTATCATGGCTACCAGTTCTCCTCATTGCATGCTGTTGGCGATGCTATCACTTCAACTATCTGAATGTTCAAAAAGAAGCGAGAAATCATTAAGGACTGGTATGAGTCCAGATTTACAGCATAGAGGAGCATGTGCTATGGATAGATCCAGAAATTCAAATTCCCCAAAAATCTGAGTTTTGTTGCAATTGGAAGAGTCCAGAGAGTCAACAGAATCACCCTTAATCACAATCTGTGATCCCAAGTCTTTGGATCCATACAATGGTACTTATGCAATATTCTAGAGGCTGCTGAACAAACAACATAGTAAGTTCTAAGTAGTGTCTTTAAAGCTCATTTAAGATGGCTAACTACTACACCAGCCAGCTTGTCATCTGAAAAGTCATCAGCATTCCATTATGTTCTTTCTATCTAATGTTTTCCTTTGCTTTCAGAAGCTACTAGGTTGTTGGATGATCATCCCAACAACTCTGGCTCTTCCTATCTTGCAACCTCTCTCAGGCTGTGGTCTCCCACCTACCAGTGAATGCAGCATGGTGGGTGTGACACCATCTCCTGCTAATGGAAGTTGTTCAATTCAATTGAACAATTTTCTTAGCCAAGAGGCTGATTGTAACATAGCCACCTCAGGGATTACATTGGTTTTGTATTCATATACAACTAATGATATAAATTTTCCTAGTCATGTGTGAAAGACATATTCTGTAGTACATTCTCCATGATGCAGGCATCAATTCTCTCTCACCTCATCCTTAGGCATTCCATCATATCACAGAAGATGAATGTAGAGTTGAGTGTCTTGACTACTCACAGCTACACAATTGCTTTGATGCATGGCCTGTGTTTGGTGGTATGGCTGTTTGTTGGTGTTCAACTTTTGCTTATAACTAGCTTGGTCATGGGCCATCATCCTTCTGATCAATCTAGATATATATGAAGTGCTGCTTTTCCATACTAAGCACCAAGCACTACAATTTGCAAGCAGGTTTTGAACCTGCATGGTTTGAAAGACACAGATTTTGACTCTGTTGCGACATGTACTTAGCTAAGATCAGTAAGATGGAGCTCTCAAGAAAGACATGAGTCCATGTTGAGGTGTGTTCTAACAGGAAAAAACATGCTGTATTTTGCCTTGTGCTGCTGCAACCCACTCTTCCTCTGGTGCATTATTGTATGGTGCCTTTACCAATTGCAGGATGTTGCCCACAGCTCTTCCAACATTTCCTTGTGCTCATGCAATGACTTGTTTCATGACAAGTGGTTTGCCAAGGCTTTGCCATCTGCCAAGAGTGTGTCTGTAGGCAACCATCAATGTATCAACTCTAGATATATATGCCTCCACTGGAACCGTTCCAATGTTACATGCTGACAATACTGTGCGATTGCTATGCTACCGGATCCATTCCATGAATAAGGTTGATTGCTGCTTACCTTCATTGTATGTAATGATTCCCCATTTTCCTATTAAAACTAATGCACCTTACAGCTCACTAAGCTCGCTGCAAAGGCGGTTATACTTGGTGATGTGCTCCTCTGTTGGTTTATTTATCTCATTGATCTTGTGGTGGTGTTTCTCAATAGAGGTGATCTCATCCATGATGTTGACCGGATGCTACTACAATAGTATATGCATCCTTCAATTGCAGCTGTGGCACCTCCTATTAGAATCAGCTGAGAGTTCAAAGTTAATGCACAAAGTATTTAGAACTATGAACTCTGGACTATAGTCAAGTCTATGTAAATAACTACAAACATATTCTAATATGGTATGTCTTCAAAGTGTCCTCAAAGTTCTCAAAGTCTTGGAAGTCTTAAATGTCTTAAATGTTTTCGAACTAAATAATGGTGAAGTCACTACATAATTAACACAATCCACTGACTAATCTTGACTAATCCACAATGCAAGTTGCCACCTCACTCATCTTCAGCTTAGTGACAGTCGTTCCTTCATCATAACATCTTCGAATATACAGATTTTAACTGCAGTCCAATACCTATACTGCCTGGTCAAAATTGTACTGTTACCCTAAGCCAGCAGCTCTGTGACTGACAAGAGAGAAAGTACTGCATCTGAGGCCCCCAAGCTACCCCACCTTCAAAGATGTGGGCCATCTGGATTCTTAAGTATTCTGATCACCCCAACTTTGAGTACTTGGCTGATGAACCTTTCAAGACTGTTCAAAAGGAACAGTTACAAGTTGTACAATGCTATTTACATAGTTTCCCAGTGTGTTTAGGGTACCAATGTACCATGTGAGAGATTGACTGTCCTCTTGTCCATCCTTTTGTGATTCCAACATGTATGGCACAGAGATTGTGCAGCTGAAAATATATTCAGATGAGATCACTGTGAGCTTCTTCATTAGCAATACTGAGTGGTAGATGTAGCTTTCCAAAGGTCCCTTGGATAGCTCACATACCCTATTCTGCAGTCTGTCAGTAAGAAAGTAGTTCGTGGTTAAAGGCCATTTGTTCCGCTATCTCGGCAACTGAGCCACATAAAACCTGGTCATGTTCAGAGGTGCACAAATGCGCCCATCAATAGAGGATCTCCCATGAGGGAAGGCAGTATCCATGACAATGTAATAGTTGGTAGGTGTGTGTAGTTGAAGTTGAGCATGAATGTGGGATGCGACATGAGAATCATGCCAGCTACCAGGTGCATTGGTCCTTGCTGCAATCATGATGCCTTTGTAAAGAAAAAAATCAAGCACAATCAATTGCAAAAGATGAGACAACATACCTTAAGCCAAAAATGTTATAACAGAACTTATGAAATGCTCAGATAGCCACCTGTTGTAGGTAGTGTTTTCAATGTTATCATCCTCAGAGGTTTGCACAGGCAATTTGAGCCCGTCAATGCTTCCGAAGGTTCCTTGCAGTCGTGGGTGACTTGCAATCATAAATGTACTACACCATTCAAAATCGGGTCCCTATAACTATTGAATTCTGGCATCAGTCATAGAATGAAGGGTTTGTAAGAGCATGGAAGTCCAAATGTGAGATAGTGAGAAAATGGCAGGAATCAATACAAAGATCTGCTGGAGGCTAGTCTCTTGCATGGTGGAGTTGAGATAATGAAGTATGAGGTCAAGGGCTCCACCTGTGTTAAGTGAACACTGATTCAGGCAAGGAATGCTGTGCAAATTGATATCAGGATGTGTGATGGGCTACTCATACAACTGACTGGCAAAGCCAGAAGTCAGAATGAATTCAAATATTTGGACATCAATCCCAGTGAAAATCGACAAGAATGAGGTAGATAGGTAGCAATAGACGTCTAAGTACAGAATGAGATAGATAGAAATCTAAGAAATTCGAGACGGTAAAACTCTAATTTTGTGCAAAATGCAAAGAACCTTATCTTTGCTACACTTAACTACTTGCTGATCCACATCACAACACTCCGTGGTAACTATTGTATGAAAGTCAGAACAATTGTGCTTTTATTACAACCATGGGCATTGATGCCCAGTGAAAATCGACAAGAATCGGGTAGATATACGTATATAGATATCTAAAAAATAAAGGCCCATGAAATCTATCGATGTATTTCGATGTATTTAGACAAATGAGACTTTTCGAGACAGAAAAAGAATGACATCGAGAAACAATTTAGACATTCAGATACGATTCTTGATCTGTCTAGACCTACTGATACACATTTACATATGAAATATCACTCGATTTGATCCAAAAACACATCAATATACATCTAATGCAGACAAATAAGAATTATCTATAGGTATTGCTAGGGTTAGGGTGGTATCACTATCATTAGATGAGTAGGGTATGCCATCGCTGCTCGCTGCGCTTTGTCCGCCATCCCGCCCGCCATCCCACCATCCATCTCATCATGCACCCTCTAGCTATCGTGGTTGTCGTCTACTTGAACCAGTCCAGAGGTAGCCAGCTATAGGACACATGGTCAGTGCATGTGATAGGATGTAGTGAACAGTGCTCACCTCCATCGCCACCCTCTTCTGTGACGCAATCTTGCATTGACGGCACAATCCACGTGTCCAGGTCAAGTCCAACAGGAATGGGCACACTAGCTTGCACAATGGATGCGACAGGATTGTGCTCGTGCGATGAGTGGAACACTTGGTTCTGATACGGAGTCAAAGGCAGCTACGCTCGGGTCTGAGAAGCAATTTTCCTCCTTTGGCTTGTAAATCGCTACGATGCGCTTGATGAAGATAAGCAGTTGAAGAATATTAATGAATTTGTAGAACGCACCTGCAGTACAGAGATCAGAAGGCTGCTGTACATTAGTTTGACAAAGACAAAGAGGTTTTCGGTGCGCTATGCTATTGGGAAGTGCAGGGGACAAGATTAGTTCAAGCAAAGTAGAGAAATCTCAGGCTTGTGGTTGTCGAGTTGTGCTAGAAACACAAGGGAGTGATTGTGTTGAGCGGGGGTCGCGGCGGGGATGAATGACATGGTGGGCGGAGGAGAAGATGCATGTGGTTCAACTGCACCGACTCGGTCACTCGGATACGATAAAGTTAACATATGTGCAAATGCAAGAAGTTATGCACCTACAATATGCATGTACATGCGCAATATTGCATGCATATGCAAAGTTTGTCAAAAGTTTGTTACAAAGTGTGCAAACAAAGTTTGACATGCTTGCTTTTTTACCTTTGCAAAGGTCATCCAGGGTTCCGTGCTTTGATATGATCGAGGCAAGCAAGCTCAATGCCAGCAAGCAGTGTGGCTGCTAACATTCTTGTGTCTTCTTCATCATTTACTAGAGCATGCAGTGGCAGTAGATCTTCCATTGGAATTTGTGACAGCAGGTAGAAGTTCATTGCAATGACTTGAGATGATGGCACAAGTAGAGTAGAACATTCTCACACAATGATAACCAGGCATGACAGTTCCTTGTGCCTCGATCAAGGCAACCGCCACAGAGTGAGTCTTACCAAGAAAATATACATCCCTGACTCCCATGTATTTGGTTTTTGTGTTTCTTTTGTTAATCTTTTGTCAACAATTGTCTTTTGTGGACATGTCTCTCTAGCTTCACCACTACACCACAATGGGTTCCTGTTCTTATATAAATAGTAGTTTAGTATATATGTGTATAATACACTGCTTTTTTGTGTATTTGTGTGCCTGCTTCTCCTCCAGGGGCCATTTAACATATGGTAGGGTAAAGAATATTTTCACATTTTTGCACCTTTGGTGGGTAAGTGTTCTATTATTTCAGAACATGTTTATGAGCATGTATGAATGAATTACCATCTTTATTTGACCCCCTAAAGTGCCCTACCTCAATAGATATAGCACATATGCAAAAAAACAATCTATTCAACAAGATATAATGTATCAGGAGCCCCAGGAGGATAGGATAATCCCCTATTGCATGACATGTCCTCCCTCTTCTGATGGCTCATCCACTGTGAAAGGTTTTCCTGTAGGACTGGACCTCAATTGAGGTGAGGGGTCTATTTCTATATATATTTGGAGTAGGTCTGTCATATAGCTGGCCTAGAGAACATACATGGGATACTGCTACAAGAACAAAAATATAGAAAAACCCTCTTTTGACATTTTGGCTGTTTTCAGTCTCTTAATCTTACATAAATAATCCAGCCTGTTTGTATATCATTATCATAGTATGTATACTTGCTTTATATGCCAAGGACCAGCTTAAAATAGACTGGAGTTTTGAGCTAGTATGGATATTTGCTATTTTTACTAATAAGGAGCCCATACTTTCAAAACATTGAAATTTAATAATTAGACACCTGGAGTAGATTTAATATACAATGTTCCCAGATGTCCAAGTGGCTTATTTCTCGATTTTTCTTCAGATTTCACTCCTCAAACCTCCTCATACACAGAACATCAATGTTAATCTGAGGCTCTAACTAATGCTTCATCCATATTAATATCTTATCCCCACTTGCTTGTATTAATCTTGCAATGATGATGTTCCTAGGTTCAAACCAGCTGTTCACAGTCTCATCTGGCATGACTCTATTGGATTTTTGGAACAATGATGTTCCCAGATACTCAAGTGCTTATTTCTTGATTTCTCTTCAAATCTCACTTCTCAAACCCCCTCAGACACAAAAATAAACTCCTCCATGACTGACATTCCTGGATTCCCAAGTAGCTTCTCTTTCACTTTGCTCTTTAGTCTCTCATATTACCTATACAAGACCCACTCAGTCTCCCAGCCTTGTGTGAGAGGCCTGGCTTTTCACATGGAGTACTCTGTCATCTTTGAATGGCCATCTAGACACTAGACATTCAGTATAAACTCAATCCTGGACCCTCTATAGCCATTGCCTTGAATTTGATGCATTTTCTTGCATTGGCTTCCTTGTTTCCTGTACTTCAGCAGCTTTGGAATGGCAATGGTAATACTGTCTCCTTATCACAACCGATTTTCCCATAGTATTACTTTAAACTTGACATGTGACAACCTAAGTGATCGTTAGGTCCGGATCAGATGAATTCTGTAATTATTATATAATGTCTGATCTACATTTGAGGTACTTGGTTATGGATGCAGGTAAATAAGTTGCATGCAAAGATGAATAAGCACCTAATAAAGCTTAGGCAACTCAGAGGATGGACAGGCAGCTTGCAAAGTGCAGGCTGGGTGTGGCATATATTAATATTCTCAAGATCTAGGATATACTATTGTTTGGCAAATACAGTGACTACCCACAGATTGACAAGAAGATGAACAAGCTGTTTGCATTCTTCAAAAAAGAAGGTATCCTTATGATGAGAGAAGATATAGTGTCTAGCACACATCTGAAGAGTGGCTGACATATCCAAAACTTTCATTATCCATTACATGTTCATTACACATGCCTTTCTTCTCACTATATATTACTTCTTTATCCATGGTGATGATATTACAATTGATGAAGGAAAAAATGGATTTAGCCACCTTTTATATTCTAATGCCCACAAAAAAAGTGACACCCTGTATTTTGATAAGTACTAATAAATCAATAGAAAACAACACAAACAGACCAGGGTACAAGAAGGCTGAATATCATACACATTCACAAATGCCCTCTATTAGTCAACTCTGTCTTACATACAATAAGGAGTGGTATATACATGAAATATCCTATGGAAGAATCAGTTAGTAGATCACATGTGTGATTTGTAAACTACTGACATTCCTAAGAATAAAGACACAGTTTCCAATACTTTGGAATTAGAAGATAGCTTAGTTAGTACCACTACATAAAGACTTCTGTTAAAAACATACTCAAGAAGGGCTTGACTTCAGCTCATGCAGTATGTCCCTTATCTGAGTATGTGCTTTTAACTTCTGAGGGCTTATAGACAAAGTCCAGAATTCAGAAGCATGAGAAATCTGGCAGACATTCAGAAACTAGAGGTAAGACTACTATGGATAAAGTCTAGAGTAGAAACAATCAGAGATAGACTACTAAAGGTAGAGGTGGAGATGTTTAGTTCTTGGAATTAATACTAAGACTTCAGAGAAAGGCACTCAAGTCAGACAGAGACAGAAATAAGTAGAAAGCCTATCAATATTATAATAAAACATAATAAAATGAAGTCGGAAATGAACAGAGTCTGGATAAGTAATTACAGTCAAATTTAAACACAACTGGATGACTGGAAATAGAGGTTAACTAAAAAGAGACATACAAAAGGGGAAAGTTACAGAAAAGAGAAGTTAGTTAGATCTGAAGATTAGGAGAAAATTGCATTGTAGATCTGGATTTGGAACATAGAATATGACAGCTTCCATGAATGGAATAGGAGATAATGAAGCATATAAAGTGATGGTAAGCTGCTGGAATTTTGGTGTAGGTGATGCTAATGTAACATCCTTTTTCAGATAAAGTGATTCAGGATGCTGGTTTCAGCCAGTTCATTATGAAAAAGGAGGTAATGAGGTGATTAAGCAGGAACCCAATGATTATGCATTGTCATTATCCTCTATTGTAAGTTTTGGCAATTATTATGTGGACTTCACTGATATATGAAAGGTTGGACACATACACTATCACTATGTAGGATTGCAGAAGTTCCAGTCTGCCCATTATTAAAGAGGAATTGAAGGAGATAAAATAATTTCTCATGTTTCACCTGATACATCAGGAAACCTATACTTTTCCTAATTATGCTTCAGCACTCTTGTGTGACCTTTAGGACTTGTAAAAGGTAAATCAGAAATCATGCTCTTAGCTAAGATGATCAAGACATTATAATAATATATTACAATTTAGCATAATTTAGTGTAATTTAGTGGGATATCTAGATAATTTGCCAATCTTAATTAACTTAATGACCTGCCAGACTTGGCTTATCTTATCAGACTTGACCAATTTTTTAAGGTTTCCTGATGCAGAATGTATTACTCATCATTAGCTCATTTGCTTGGAAAGTATTTCATAGCTTAGTATACAACCTCTGTTACTTGTTATATTAATGAATATATGATATGTTTATGCTATAGCAGTGTAGATATTACATCAGATAGTGAACATTTGAATATACTGTCTCGTATACTCAGATAAAGGTATATAGATCTACCAAAATGTATGTGATATTCTTTAAATGCCTGAAACAGCTTCAGATGATCAACAATGAAATCAAAATGCAGACTCACATCTAGACCTGTCATCATCCTCCTATATCAGTCAACAAACTTATGATTGACTTTCTTAACTCTACTGCAAAATCAAAGGAATACCTCTACTAAATTATTGTACCTTCTAGTATCTGTGGAATCTTGGGCAATCTATGCTAAGAAGTTCTTGTAGGTCACCAAAGAGGCTCCTGTGCTGATCTCTCTTATGATTAACTGGCAACATCCTATATTATGTCATATGCAAAATATAAACTTGAAAATAAACCTAGTAAATGGACATTTTTTATTTTTCTGTTAAAAAAAGCCATGTCACTGCAGGCATTTTCCCATGTTCCTCCACCAAACATCCAAAAAACATTGATTGAGAAGATAGAATTTTCCCCTCATTTTTCCTCTCAAAATATTAAAACAAAGTAATTCATGTTTCAATGATGTTTTGTGTGTGAGACATGATACAAAAATTAATTATGTTCCTTCAAGGATAATGCTGTATTTTCCATCTATCGTCTTTGAAATAACAGCTAAAAATAATATTAATTTTCTTCTCTGTGTTCTTCAAATATACTATGTTTTTCAAATGTTCTGTATATATTTGAAAAACACAGAGAAGAAAAACAACATTATTTTTAGCTGTTATTTCGAAGACAAGACATGGAAAATACAGCATTATTCTTGAAGGAACATAATTAATTTTTTGTATCATGTCTCACACACAGAACATCATTGAAACATGAATTACTTTGTTTCAATATTTTGACAGGAAAAATAAGGGGAAAATTCTATCTTCTCAATTAATGTTTTTTTTGGATGTTTGATAGAGGAACATGGGAAAATGCCTGCAGTGCAAAAGGATTACATCATTGTCTCTTCTTCCTCTTACCTTCTTTGGATTCTTATTGATCCAATTAGCTAGCTTGTGCTTCAAGATGATCACATCATCAGAGAAGTCTGAAGATTCTGACTCATTGCCAGATGCCTCTGACTTGGTGCTAGAGGCATTGGTAATGTTTTGTTTATTTGAGTATCCTCCAAAAAACAAGTAAACAAAATCACTTATCAAAGCTGCATAGCTGTTAACATACTATATATGCTTCTCCTGTTCGTTCCCAGCAAATATTTTTTATGCCTCTGCAGTAGTCGCAGTATGGGTGCATCAGGTGAATCACGCACATTATGCTGCTATGCCTTGGAGGAGGTGCTAGGATTGATATTGACAACAATGGTTGATATACAAGATGTAGAAGTATTGAAAATGCTTACCTAGCAATAAGAAACACCGATCACTGCATCTCTCACATATGAATTGAGTGGAATACAAATAGCATTGTTGGGTTTGAGCTACACAGGATTGGCATCCTGGGTCTCTCAACTTCAATTTAAGTGCTGGAAACATGGATGAGTATTGAGATAGTTGTATTAGAATGGAACATAGGCATTTAATAGTGCCTGAGAGACATTAATGTCTACTGTGGCCGTTCAGAAATTCCTCTATTGTATTTTCTCACCCACAAATATACACAGGTGAGAACAATACACACTCCCCGGTTTAGAATATTAGAATCAAGATCTATATATAACTTCAGCTATTGTAGCTAGGGTGGCATAGGATCATAAGTTCTGGCATCACTGAAGACATATATTGGAAGATAGGAATATATACAGCTGACATTATGTCATACATAGTTATTGTAACTAGCATTTAAACTAATAGTGTAGTATGGAAATTATTTGTGGTCCTCTATGCAAAGTAGAACTATTTTAAAACTTGCCTTCTTTATGCTTTTGATACTTTGAAGAAATGATCAAGGTAGTACATGGATTTTTTTCCTCTTTTTATATACACCATCACCAGTAACTTTAACTCGCAAATTTAGATCATGATATACCATAGAACCTTATTCTAAGGTTATTGACTTTATTAGTATTACCTTTATGCTACAAAATATTAGTTTATGAAAGAATATGTGCAAATATCTAGAACATCTGAGATGCCTACATGTTCTAGGTCGCCTGCTAATTTGTGAAACCTTACTTAGACACTAAAATGCACTATTTGATTTTTTTCAGCAAAGTTGACAGCTCATGCATAGCATTTTGCCTTACCTGTTTGACTCAAGAACATGTTCAAGTATGGACTTCCTATGAATTAATGCAATGAGTTGTATAAGGTGTAATAACTTATTGATAAATTCTTCTAAGATACTCACAACTAGTGGAAAGGAAGTGTGTGCTTATTTTATAAAAAATATTCAACTATCCAAAAATAGCTTGATTCCACAGATCCTTCCTTTAATGTGGACTCCAGCACCATCTTATTGTTGCCTTTAGTAGACTGATTGATGTCCAATGAGGTTCTAGATGCTCTCAGTGTGTGCCTTTACAGTCATTTAAGAGTTCTTATCTGCTACTCATGCTAGGTTGCATTAACCTTTAGGATAGTCTCTAGATACAAAAGCATCATAATATATATCAGATATATGGATCTTCTATATAGTCAATATTTATAAGAATCCAGAGCATATCAAGCTGCCAACTGCAGGTGGACCTTCTATATAGATTTATCTGCAGTTAAGTTTTCATTAGTCATTCTCGCTAATATCAAATAAAAGAGAACACCCCAGTGTGCTTCATAGGTTGAGATAGCTTCCAGGTAAAACTCTGGACCAAGCCAACCCAGAAATAAGTAGTAGAATAGATTAAGAAAAAGCACACTCATAATAAATTTGACAGCATTCTTACTAGTCTCACTGCTGCAGTGTAAAACTATATAGCCAAAACATCTGCCATATTGGATGGTTGTTCTTATAGATTAAGCCTGTCAAAACTTTTATTATATGATAAGGCTATACTGCAAGAAATGTGAGCAGTTCTATCATGCTACAATAATACAATTATTAGCTGTTATGGATGTGTTTAGAAACAATTATTAAAGGCTTGTGTCAGATGAAAACATGAAATATTCAAATTTTATTATTCAATTCATGAGGATGATTATGTGTATTCACCTTAGATTCTCATTTCATTTCTCATTCGAGCTATCTGCTGTGCAGACTCTATATCATAAGAAACTTGTGATTGCTCTAGGCAATGAGAATACCTTCCTATGAAAGAGAATGATTTTCTATCATAATTTGGTATGACTCCTAGTCAATACTAATTCAGATTTGTGTGTGGGTAAGTAATAGACAAACTTAATTAAACAAGTCATCTGGCTCAGAGTACTGTATGCAGATGGAAACTTCTGTGCAACATCCATCCTTATATCAGATTTCACAAAATTTGAATATCTTTGCAATATTACCTCTCTTCTTAAGGTGCTGATGGACAAAGATGAGGAATAGATTCAGTCCATTCAGATAATCATGAGTGAGCAAGCCTTCATATTTATTCACTTCCACACACTTATAATGCCTTTTATCTTAAGCTGTGTCACTTGTGTTCATGATTAGGTGTTACATCTCAGTCATACAACTATGTTTAATATTGTGTATGAAATACAGCAATATGTGTCCTCTTTTATATTTAGTCAAACTAGAGAACCCAATGTCTATGTCAATACAAACATTTAATCCAACATAATAGATATTTAGACTATGATCAGAGGAACCTGTCTTCAAAAATCATTTTGCCTTGTCCTTCTGCTTGATGGATCACTCCACTGGTGTGGACCATACTCACTATGACATTATCTAAGAAGTAATTCTTCAATTGTTCAACAATAGCATATATAAGCATTGGCACAGCATTCTTGGTTTTGGCCCTTTTCTGCCTCTAGAGGCAATAAGAATCAGACCTAAGAATATGTCTAATGAAACAACACTTCAGTCTATTGCAATTATAATCAGGAGGACTACATAAGATACTATAAATTTTTTTTGGACTTACACCACACTGAGATTCTAGGGGATACAATTTCTACAGTCATAATCTAACAGTGAAATGACATGATACATGATATATCAGAAATTTCATCATCACATCTAACCACCTGAAATAATAGGTCATTTTACTTAAGCAGGAATTTGGACTTCTTGTTCTATGACTAAAGTAAATATAAGCACCACTATATATTATATTAACAGCAACATTTTATTTAACTTGATAGATATTTGGTAAGACCCTACATCTATGTCAGGTACCAGTGGGTATAATAGCCATAGCAGTAAACCCAAGCACCAATGTTGTACAATTTCAAACTAATTTGATTATAGTCTGAAAATGTCTAACTATTTATCTGTTTTTTGGATGTTTGGTGGAGGAAAATGAGGAAATGCCTGCAGTGTTTGTGTGGCATTTTAACACCAAATCAGTGCCTTCAAGGATGCCGTGGCAAAGCAGGTTGAGCTGACCTCAAAGTAGACAGCAACCACCACAATAGAACACGAGCCTGTCTCAGGTGAGACAGAAGTTGACAATCAGGAGCAGGAGACTGAGCAGGAGGCAGAGGTGGAAACTCAGGAGGTAGATGAGAGTTATGAACTGCTAATATTCTAACCCTCCACTTACAGAAATATACCCTGCACATGAACACCAAGATGGAACTCAACCTAGTGCCTTGTGCAACATGTACGAATCAGGAATGCTTGTGCCACTGCTCCACTAAGGGCATGTCGTATTTTGAGTGCTACAAGAGGAAGATTAAGTGCTCCCTTATACAAGGTAAGTTTGTACCTCATATGTCTGGCAAGATCAGCACTGAATCTAGAGACAGGCAAAGGAAAGCAGAAGACTGTGCCACCTCCACCTCCACCCCTACCAGTGCTAGTTCCCAAGCCCAAACCGAAGCTAAAGCCAGTTGCAACAACTATCCATCCTGTCAGGGCATCTTCAAAGGCTACACAAGTGCTAGGCCCGGCTACTAGGACTAAGAGTAAGTCAAGCAACCCACCTACTGATACACCAGCACCACCATAGTTGGTGCCAGGCCCATTGAGTGTGCAGAACAATGCCTATATGAAGATTTGGTTGAGTAGCAAGTAGAAGGTTGCGGCTATTGAGGAAGAAGCGAGCAAAAGCAAGGATGATGACAAAGATGTATACCTGGCCAGTAGAGTGTATGGCCTCACTGACATCCTCCAGATGATAGAGATGGCTAGCACCATCTTGAGGAAGGAGGTAGAGGAGATTGACAGGCAGGTGTCCAAACACTGCTGCCACCACCACTCAATAGGATGCTTACTTGTACTGTATAATACCAAACAACATGATTATACTTGTCATTTGTGTGTTCACTATTTACCTAATGCCAAATGCATGGAACACAATATCAATTTTGTGGCTGGACATTTTCTCACAATCATCTCACCAACATCCAGCTGCAAACTCCTAAAGAAAATTGAGATAGCATTGAAACACTCAAAACTAAAGGAGAAGACAATAGATTTGGATGCCTTAGATGCCAGCTTAGAGGAGATTTATTATGAGAGAGCAGATGAATGTGAGGACAAAGATGATGAGGATGATAACTTTGGAGTTGGTGATTTAATTGATAAAGCTCTTGTGCTGGTAAAGCAGGTTTGTCTTGACTTTCATCTGACACAGACCAAATACCACCAAATGCTATTTCTCCAACAATTTACCAAAACTTTTGGGGCTACTTACACACCCAGCCAACTGGCAAAACTTGCAGGTGGTGCAATGTTTGTCTCTGTTGATTTCGCCTGTTATCACTCAATTCGGACTGACTTTTGCAAGTGACATACTCAGTGTGACGATACCGAGTGTATGTAGAGTTATTTAATTTTTATCAATGCTCGTGAGAATTCATTGTTGACATTCGCCATGCTCGAAAGGCGTGTCAATTGAGAAGTACTTGTCTACATACCCATGCTGTGGAATATAATGCTACATACTCACACCCAAATCCTCGACTGATGGACTATCAAATATCACAGAAGCTCAACAACATACTACAGTGCCTGGAGGTCAACAGGATGACCATTTCAGACTTCATAGAACAACTGCTCCAAAGCACGGACCAGATTCACGAGTCAGCAAAGAACATTTTAGTGCAATAAGGCTCGGAGATTTGTACTCACCTTTATCAGTATCCTGACACTCACACATCAACATCTTTGTGTACCGCTGTCATTGAATAACAAAGGAATCCAGAATGTGAGTGTCTTGCCAGAGCCTATAGGTGATAAAGTACAACATCTCTCTTCTTCAGTTGTGCGTAGGCAGACTGCACTTGCCAATTACAAGGTATGAAGCCAAACCGTTCGTGGACCACGGTGTGTATGGTAGCTATAGATGGTATATCATAGTTTAGGGGGGGCGAAGCCATCACTGATGTGTATTGCGGCAAATGAAAATGGCACTGACAAAAATTAAATAACCCTACATAAACTTGGTATTGTCACACTGAGCGTGTCACTCACAAAAGTCAGTCCAAATTGAGTGATAACAGGCGAAATCAAGAGAGGCAAACATCGCACCACCTGCAAGTTTTGCCAGTTGGCTGGGTGTGTAAGTAGTCCCAAAAGTTTCAGTAAATCACTGGAGAAACAGAGCTTGGTTGTGTTTGTCACATGCCGGGGGCTCTCTTACACATCTGCCGATGGGTAGGAGTCTGTATCTAACCTAGCTTTATTACAGTATCACTAGTCATTATATCTAATGCTTTCATACATAGCCAGAGATTATCTAATTATCCAGGGTAGTAGTACTATATTGGAGCATGTATTCTTAAGTGGTGGGCTAACTGGAATGAAATAATGCAATCATCTCAAGAAGAATGTATTTGAGAGCTTACAGCTACTGAAAAGTGCATATTTCAATAGACACATCTTAGCTGCTAGTGATGCTAAGTAACATCTAGATTTATTGATCATTGCACTCTATGACAAAGATGACAAAGAGTTGATCTAATGTAGTACTAGTTTACTTACTTTTGTCTCTAGCTATGTTTGTAAGAATTTTTTTGTTAGTTTGGTTCTTAGTTCAAACCTTTGCTAAACTAGAAGTGGACCATTATCAAACTAAACTAATAGTCTGGTCCATGGTTATCTGAGAACCAGACCAAACTAGACTTTTTCATCACTACTAGCTCTCACTTGTGTGCCATTGGAACCAGTTGCAAACTGGCACTTGAAGTGGTATATAAAAACTGCAAGATCATCTACCATGGGCAGCACTTTTTAGTGCTTTCTATGGTCTATCAAACCTGTAGGACACAATATATTTCTGGGACATTCTCTCCTAGGAGGGTCTCCCTTAATTCCTTAAGAGTTATCAGAATATACTGTACTTTCATAGGCCTTATCAGAGAGTTGGTTTTGATCCTCTCAAAAGACTCTGAAGAGCCTTTAGCACATCATAGTTCTTGTCACTGCTAACATAATTTAGAGCCTCTAGCATGTTATTATGGTTCTTGTCATTGTTGACATAATTTAGAGCCTTTTGTGTTATAACTGGAATAAGTTGAGTTGTCTGTATCTGAACAGACAAGCTAGAGATAGACTGTATTCTATTCTCAGATGAAAGATCAAGGATTCTGGCTAAGGCAAGTGGTGGCAGCTTCCTTAGAATAGTAGTTCTAAGACAACTAAAATGGAACCTTTGATTGAGCAAATGTTTTAGATAAAACTCAGTAGATTAAAGTGAGGAATATAAATGCTATCTATAGTACTTATATAGGTATATAGGGATATCAGGCAGCACACAGACCAAGCCAAGAGTATCTTCAAATGGATAATGGACTTTATGATACTGCATAACATTATACACATACTATGGCTCATGAGAGTAGCCATAAAGAGACTGATAAGGGTCATATAAGATATTGCAAGAGTTGTAATGAAAAATATCTTAAGAGTTAGCATAAAGGACCTCATAATAAGGCTCTTATCATGATGGTCAGGGATGGCCTTATAATGAGATTCCTATAAATGACATAGAGGATCATGTAAATAGTTGCAAGATTTACAAGAGTTGTTAATAATATCACACTTAAGGGAATTGGTGGTTGCTTTAAAAAACACAAAGAAGAAAATTAACATTATTTTACACTGTTATTTCAAAGACAATGCATGAAAAATACAGTATTATTCTTGAAGGAACATAATTAATTTTTGCATTATGTCTCACACACAGAACATCATTGAAACACAAATTACTTTTTTTCAATGTTATGACAGAAAAAATGAGAGGACATTTCTATCTTCTCAATCAATGTTTTTTGGATTTTGGTGGAGGAACATGGGAAAATGCCTGCAGTAAATGAAGGTTCCTATAGCTCCAGAATTAATGATGGTGGTTTTTTGACAATTTTCTGATGACTTCAAGAGATAACGGTAAGAAAGATGTGAAGTTCCTTTCATTCACCAATAGCTCATATAAGGGGACACTGATGTCGATTCAGGTCCCTCTTTCAAAAATCCTCATTCATCCATCTATTTTCTTCTTCTTCTTCTTCTTCTTCTTCTTCTTCTTCTTCTTCTTCTTTCATCTCTGTCTTTTGTACAATGGGTACATTCTTCTTCTTCTAAGGGCATTCTCTGACCAGATGTTCCATCTGATGACAGATCAAACATTTGCTGATATATATGTGTTCTTGGTGTTCAGCTTCAGTGAGATATTCTATAACCATAGTATCACAGTCACACATGGGGACATATCACTGATTTTCATATTTCTTCTTCTTCTGCTGCATAGGATGACAGTCCTTATAGCCTGCAGGCAATGATAGCAGTTGCCTAAATCAATAACTGTTTTGATTGGATTATTAAAGTCTCTGGGAACACTTTCCATGCCAAATAATTTCAATAGGAGGCCAAAGTTAATGCCAAAGTTAATGCCAAAGTTTGAGTCGTCTTGGAAATACTGGATCTTGGTTGCATTATCTTCGATTTTAGCTTGCACTGCAAGGTGCTGGAAGTTAGCAATGTAGGTTTGCATGTTGACACTTCCTTGCTTGAGTACATGCATCTTCATCATGACAGTGCCAGTAGAATCTATTAGTGAAAACACCTTATTGAAGGATTCTAGGAAGTCCTTCATTATTCCATATCCTTTCTTCTGGCCTGATGAGTTGATACTCTGGGTGCCCTCTAAGAATGTTTCTGTCCAAAGTCTAGCCTTTCATTTATCCATAAATGATATGATGAAGATAATATGCTGCTTGTCATCCTTGTAGAGTTTCTGTTAAGAATGTGCTCAAGGGTCGAATCCGAAGGGCTTGGCTTCAGCTCGTGCGCTGCACCCCTTACCCGAGTATGTACCCCTAACTTCCGAAGGCTGTTGAACGATGTCTGAAGGTTACCAGACAATGTCCAAAGGGCGTCAGGCGATGTCCGATGCACAGGAATTCCAGCAGATGTTCGGGAACAAGAGATAAGACTAATCCAGATGAAGTCTGAATTAGAAAGGAAACAGTGGAGGACTACCAGAGGTAGAGGCAGAGGTGACAAGTCTATAGGAGTCAATCCTAAGACAAGTGGAGGACGATGAGAGAGAACTCAAGTCAGATGGAGAAGAGAATGAGCAGGGTCTAAGATAATATTCGAATTGAGGAAGTACAAAGACTCTACAGGGTTTATATACTACTAAGGACTTATCGGAGAAATGAGATGCGCAGTCTGAAGCTATGTGAGGCTGTGGACGGAGTGTATAGAAAAGTCAAACACTAGTCTATCGGAAAATAGTAAATGAAGCTGGAGATGAGAACAGAGGAAAATAAAGGCAGAAATAAAATGAGGTACGGAAAATGATTATAGTCTAACTGGAGTAGGAATGTATGAAAGGATAAGGCATGGAAGTTAGACGCAAATCGGATCTGGACATAGATAGATGTCGGCCAGATCTGGACATCTGGAAATGATGTGTGTGACAAGTCCAGGTCCAGAATGCGGGATATGACAGTTTCTCATTAATATCCATGTATGCATTGTATAAAAGCAAAAATTATCTAGATAAATCTGTCTCCATCAAAGATAGGAGGCTGGTTAATCTTATGCTTGAATTCTTTCATGGTTGAAGTCAACATGTTGAGGTTCAATATGGTTACAGGAGTCCCAAGGTTCAATGTGTTTATCAATGGTGTAAGGGTCATCAGTTTGAATGATCTGGTCTGCCTGCACTATCTTAGTCAGGGCTTCAGAGGTCGATATTGTCATTTGTCATATACATGTGAATGAACAGTGTAATAGAGACTTTAATGCTACAGTGTTCAAACTTGCAAAAATATGTTTACAAGTTTTAAAATCTTCAAGTTCAAAGCTACATAGGTACATGGGATCATATTACAGCTGACATTTGTGGTTGTGAGCATGTCCATGGAATGCATTGATGGACAATAAAGATGGGTGATTCACAGCTTTGTCTTATATTGAGCTGGCAGTAACCATCTTAGATAAGTTACAACTAACATTACTACCAATGGCTTAGTTATCACTGAAGATATCCAGAAGCTTAGTAATGGCTGTAAGAGGATATTTCACACTTTTAAGAATAATCAATAACATAATATCAAAGTGATAAGTGGAACAGAGGTTGATTTTAGTGTAAACTTTAGCGCAGCTCGGAGAATCAAGAAGGTCAGAAATGAGGGGAAGTGGATAGTGGTCTTTCTTTGTGATTTTATTGAGGCCTCAGAAATCTACGCAGAGATGTAGGGAGCCATCTTTCTTTTTGACAAAAAGGACAGGGGCTCTGTGCGAAGAGGATGAGGAACAAAGAAGTCCAGTCATAATATTCTCATCAAGGAATTTGCGAAGAGCCGCAAGCTCGACCAGAGAAAGGGAATAGATGGTGCCAAGGGGCAGAGCCGCTCCTTCTTCCAAATTGATGTTAAGATCATAGGGATGATGGGGAGGGAGCCGTCTGGCTTTCCCCTTATCAAAGATATCCATGTACTTGTGATATTCTGAAGGAATTCCAAATAGGTTGGAGATTTGGAGGAGAGTGTAGCAGAGTGGAGATTGACACTGGAAGGACGAATGAAAATACTGAACTGGACCAATCCCTCTAACTTACAGGCCCGGCAAAAGGCAACTGCATTGATTAGGGAAATATTGGG